AATGATATAGAGGCTTCTGAGGACAACGCTGAGAGAGCGTTCCCCATAGTGAGACACCGAAACGAATGTTTGAAAGAGAACTCCCTCTGACCGAAATAAAAGGGATTAATTAATGACATAAAAAAGTAAGTACAATGTGTATATATAGCGATATATGCACTTGCCCTTTAACCTTTGTAAATACTTGGCATTTATGCTGTTTAAGAAGAAAATAAAACATTTCCCACTCGGTTCATTGTGCTCACAATCAAAGGAGCATTTACTCTGGGAATTACAACATGAGCAACATTATCTGCCGACAACAGAACAAAACAATGAGTGGAAAATAATGCAGACTGTGATTGCAGCGCATCCATTCAGCACCAAGGAGAGCATATGTTCCTATAGACCGCTGTGTATTTGTTAATTAGTCACTGGAGAGCCCAACTTTAAAAGGCTGGCAACAAAGCGCAATGTGCACAGAGCAAAGTCAACACTTAATTACACTACTGTGAATGTGTGGGTTAACGCTACTGTGTTCTCTGTCACAAAGACGTGTAGGCCTGCTCTTTATTTACTCACCTTGTCAAGAGGGGAATACCACTGCAGGAAACATGTAATGTTAATTAAGAACACATGCAGCCGCTATAGTTTTATGGGTTACATAACATTAACAAATTTGCACATAGTGTGTTACATGGAAAGTTGAAGGAAAATTCACCATTATTACAGATCTGTTTTGCCTGTGTGTTATACCCATGGCAGGTTCTTTTTTTGTTTGTTTGTTTGTTTTTGTTTTAAAGCTAAAGAAAGCTGCAGAAAAGTGTTAAAGTGTTTAAATTAGACGTATAACGAGTCACTATATCTGTTTTTTTTTCCTCCTGCCACTGTGAGAAGTAAAAGCACTAAACTGCTTCACTTGTTTACAGGTGATAAGTTGGACACAATAGACATTAATACAATCAACAGGCTGCATTTTGAATAAAATGCTTATGTCACACTTAGTGAGTCTTTTATGCTTCCAACTGCTCTCAGCTGGTGAAACTCTTAACTGGCATGTCAGCCTTTATGGCTTTTTTTTTTATTGGTTTTAACAGTGAACGTAACCAGAAGACATTCAATATAATGCCAGCAAAGAGTTTGACAGTTTTGACCTTATATGCCTATTATAATTACAGATTAATGTGAATAATTTAAAAAACACTGAGCCTGATGACTATTTCTATTGTGTGTGAATACATTTGGCCGTCAATGATAATGATTGATAGTGATGATTAATTAATTCTCTCATGCATTTCCAGTAATGTGAATGTTTTATTCGACTCAAACGGATAGTTATTTTAAAATCTTGGCAGAAAGTTTTTTGTTTCTTAATCAGAGAAATTCAATCTTTTTAATTAATTCTGAACCCAAGGTGGGCTAAAATTCCAAATATATTTTTAACTATACTTTGTGTAAATACTTTTTTTTTTTTTAATTTTTTAAATTTTTTTAAATTTTGTGTCTTGAAGTTAAAGCAGCTCAGCTTCAGAACTTCTGTGACAGCTTGCAGTGTGGGTGTGTTTTGGTTCACAGGTCTGAAGTTGTCTCGCCAACTCAGTGGGCTGAGAGAGCTGAGCAGAAGGCCAGAGAGAGAATTCAGCCCCTTCTGGATGAAGCCCAGGTAGGAGGAATTATCTGCTGTCCAGCTAGTGCCAGATTTTCTTCCTTTTATAAACCCCCTAAAGACGAGGGAGACAGTTGTTGCATGTGAATGATTAAATAAATCTAAGTTTGTGTGTATGCGTGTGTTTGGCTTCAGATTTACCTCGTAAAATAAACTGAGATTTTTATTGTGCGTTCAGCAAATTGGTGAGTCCAGGAACAACAGAATGAACTCTCCACTGAGGAGTCGAGTGCCTGAACAGGCTGCAGAGAGGGTGAGCTTCACTACAGGAGATTTGACATTTAAGTTTATCATGGCAAGGATTTAAAAACTGTGCAGCTAAACTCAGAACACTTGTATTTTTTTGTTTGTTTGTTTTTTGTATTTATTGCCATTTACAGGCAGAAGAAAGTGCTGAGCAGCTGAGTGAAGAGCTGCTGGACGATTTGTGGCGGGTGGCGTGGACAGTTAGGACAGACAGACAGCTGCAGGACATGGGCCAGGACAGGCTGCAGGCCCCAACCCTGGAGAGTATGCTGCTTCGTATGGAGGAGATACAGGTGAGAGGGACCCACCAGTGAAAGGTCACTATGGAACTTGAAAGGTCACTGGTCACTGGTTACTGGTTTAGTGTTTATAATGAGCTGTTATGACAGCTGTGGTCTGCGTCTGCATACTGATGCATTTTCCAGACTTGATTACACTGTTCAATTTGTTTGACAAGGCTCTTTGTCAGTAGGATGCTGTGTTTATAGAATCTGGTTCTCTGTGTGTCTCTGACAGCGGGATCAGGAGGAAGTGAGGAGGCGGTTTGCTTCTATCACCTATTCAGACCCTCTTTACTTGAAACAACCAGGACCAGCAGGTAAAAAAAAAAAAGAAGAAGCCAAAAACAGACGATTTCTGCACTTAAACAAAAATGTTATCTGCAAGTGCAAAGCCTTGAAAGTTATTTCCCAGACCTTTCCTGTAGGTGGAGACAGTGCTACAACTGAAAAGGCCAGATGAATACTTGTCATTCACGCTGTATGCTGTTGTCCTTTTGTGTTTCTATCTGTCTGCTCCTTGCTCCACCCATCCCTCTTAACATTTCCCCCTTCTTTTGCTTTCTCTCTCTTCTTCTCAGGATCCCAGTCCCATGCCCCCAGCTCCAGGCCAGCCTCTCCTCAGCCAATTAGGCTCACAAATCCAGTGCTGAAGCAGACCTCTGCAGCGGATATTGTCCTTGAAAAACCTGTCGAGACTGGGTGGGTTTCTCTGTCTTTTCCCCTTTACTGCACCTAAGTCATTTCTATGTGTCATCTTTAGCTGACGGCTTCCATTCATTGCTGTTTAATTCATCTTGAAAAGTCAGTAGGGAAATTTTGGAGTGTTCTCAGAATATTAACTGGAGCCCAGTATTAAGGTTTGACCTATTTAACTCCCTTTCCAATCATTTGAGCTGAAATTATAGGTCTTAGCTTCAATTATCGGTCATCATAGCTCAGCTCAATGCTCCTGATTGCACAAAATTATGATATACTCCCTTTTTTTAACAAATGCAAATATGCAAATGGTGGATTTTAATTACTTGGAAAGTATCAGGTGACTTTTAATGAAATCTTATGAGACAAATTACATATCAAATTACCTTTAATGACTTGCTTTAGTTGCTGATGCTGTAATGAAGAGAAACAAACGGCATCTTCCACAGGAAGTAATTCAGTGCTGGTTTAATTGCACCTCTAAGACTCAATGACAAGGAAGTGGTTAATGTTCTTTTTTTCCCAGCTATACACATTTAGTCTTTTTCCACATGACGTGTGTGCCCTGTAATCACTGTTCCACTGGGAGTCCTTACTCATCCTGCAAAACTCACTTGGTGGCTACTGCACCCAGGGCAGACTCTATTCCTGACTCTGGCAGCAGACTCCACAGGGAGACCCTCCACTGCCCAGGGCTTTAGCTGCAGCTGCTATACTGCTTAAATTAACGAGGAACTTGGAAGGAAAGAGAAAAGAGACTGGAAGGGACTAGAAGTTGTTGACACAGACAAGCCAGCAGGATACTTTTAACAAATTCAAGCTGCAAACATTAGCAAATTAAAGTCTGTCAGTCTTCAGCTGCCTCGGGTTCACTTCACTTGATGGAAACTTTGCCTTAAGAGCCACTTTGCTTTGCACTTTGCTTAACTGTTCTTAATGCATCTATCAAGCAATAACTCAGTTCTCTGGCAAACATAACACAGGTGCTTTTTTAAGAGGTGTCTTTTTTTTAATTAGCTGTTCATTTTAGAGGCATCAAGCCTTCCAGCTTCTTAACGGGGACAGTCATTTGATAACTGCTAGCTCATTTGTTCTGAAACACCTTGTATCACTGTAGCTCAGAACAGACCCGTCTGCAGCACTTTCATCCTCAGTCTGAATTACAGCTCCTCTAAAAAGTGCTGGCAGCCCACTGGACCTTTGTGTGTTTTGTTTTGGTTGACACATTAAATCACAGTGGATGTGATTGGTGTTTGTTTTTTTTTGTTTTTGATTTTTTTTGACATGGATCAATAGAAAAACACTTTGATTTGAAAGCAAGTACTAATCTTAGTAAACAAGTTGACTAGAATGCTTATGAATAAAAGAACACACAAGGTGATTGTGTGTATTGAGCCCCTTGAGTTATTATCACAAGATAAATAGTAATTCGGTTGCGCTGTGTATTCAGAAAAAGGGACGATTGTACCATAACAAAACAGCTGGTGATAATTGAATTAAATTTAAATTCACATAGATATCAGTGAATAATTAATCGGCTCCGTATTTCAGCTTTTTGCAAGGCATGTTTTATCTGTATTTACTTGTTTTTTTGTTTGAAAGCATTTGAAATTTCTTGGTCATGCTTAGAGAAAAATGCAGCTGGTTTCTGTTGGTACACAGATCGATTAAGTCTCTTAGTGAAATCAGTGAGGTTGACAGAGAAATTCAGCAGCACAGAGGGCGGGTAGCTTCGCTGTCTGCTGAGTCACACATGCCATCACAGAATCCTTTTTTTTTTTTTTTTTAACCATAAGATGCTCGTCAACTTACCTAGTCCAATAATGGCAGTAAGACGAGACTGATGGTGGTCGTGCCATTGGCTCTTGCATGCGTAGTATTTTTAGGCTCTGAGGTTGCTTGTAATGCAGTAATTGTACTCATTTGCATATGAAAAAAGGATTCTATATATTGTCCCCATTCTCTATTCTCTAAATGAAGCATGACCCAGCCTGTTCAGCACTTACTCCATGACTACTGCACTATCTAACTTGCGAAAGAATAAACCTCCCTGCAAGACACTCTGACAGATTGTTTGTTTGTTTTCTTTCTAAAGTGCAAGAAGGAACTTGTTGTCCACCTACAGCGTCTCTTTTTTCACAGTGCTTTGTCCCCCTTAGAAGTAATAAAGTTGGAAGTAGGGAGTCGTTTGGTGTGAGATGGGGAGAGAAATTGTGTTTATTAGGCACATTGTTTTACAGAGCTGTCTTTGGGGGACACAGAGTTGCTTCGTAAAATGAACTGAACTGTAAGGGAGATGCTTTGGCTACTTGTGCTGAAGGATAAAGAGGCCCAGGTGCCACATAGTACAACACATACCAGCACAGATGAAGGGATGAAAAGCTAATGCGGAAGCAAACCACCGAGGATGCTTTATTTCGTTGCCCTGTACCTGTGACATGTGCAATGACAATAAAGTTGAATTCTATTCTAATTCTATTCTATTTATAAGTTAAAAACAGCCTCGCCTTATGTTGTTGCAGTCTATACGCTAAATTTAACTGTTGTTGCTTTATAACTTTAGGTTATGTCAGATTGTGTGCGCAGCAGCCCTTTGTATAATAGTTCACCTCTCTCACCGAAGTGATCAGGTCTTGAGAAATAAGGGTAATTCTAAAATTGATGCCAGAGAGCAGCAGGTCATCCCAGTGGTTGCTCTCTAAGAAGCATCATTTTCCAGACATTTAGGAAAGTTATTTTGATAAGCAGCTTTTCACAACTGCAGCACTTTCCTGTTGCTTCCGCAGCTCTCGGATCAAAACCTGTGGTTAAAAATGTGGTTTGTTTTTCGTGCTGATGTGGGATTGTGTTAATCCTCTGTCAGTGTTGACTGTCCTGGTGTTCAGTGTAGCAGAATGGTGAGGTTTAATTTGGGAACGGGAAAATGAGCAAAGAGCTCATCATGTGTTGTCTCAGCCCTGAGTTGTTGTTTACAGCCCAAATTTTTCAGTCCTGAGAGACAAATCAGGCGACATGCTCGTCATTTTGTGCCTCACACACATATTTATACACACCATGGGGGAAAAAACAACATGCCATGGAAATAAAGCTGCATAATTTTCTCAGTGTGACTATCACTGGAGGTGCTTTGGGGCTATTGTTTGATAGCTAAGAGGGACATTGTCACATGGTATTGGTTATCGGTTTCCTGATTTTTGTATTAAGCTGGTTTTCTGTAAGCACTGAGCCAAGGAAGGTGAGGATTGATCGGGAGTTTTCAAAAGAATACTAACTGAAAGAATAAAATAGTTTTATATTTAGTGAGTGCTGCTACTCTGTTCTTTTCTTTTAATCTCTGCTGACTATAGTCGGGGTTACTTTTTAGTAATGACAGGAGAGCCCAGAGGGTTTTAACACTTCCATTGACTCTCACCAGGCGTAACGCTGCCTTTGTCGCGCTAAATACTCTTTCCAAAGCAGCATGTGCTTCTTACCTTGGGTGTCTTTGTTCAGGTGCCTGTGTGAGCGCTGTCAAACAACCACGGAGATAGTCTTTTAACACATCAGCAGAGCAGCAGATAAGATTTATGTATCCATGGTGAGGAGCCCAAACCTCAGTCTCCCCCATCCCCCCTACAGCTCCATCAGCTGGTCAAGCAAATCAATAAAAAGATAAGAAGCTCACTCAGAAAAATTAAAAACCGTGCATTTATTTTATTTATTTATTTCACTCTCCCACCTTTTTCCTCTGTGGCTACAGTTGTCCCCTCCTGTATTTCGTCACTTTGTAACCTGGTAGATTTGTAGTTGTGATGTCTTCTAAGTTCTGCACCCACATTTAAATCAGTCCAGTGCAATATTATAAAAGAGGATTTTCTTTTTGGAATATTGAGGATTTCTGGGGTTTTTTTTTTTGTTGTTGTTGTTTTTTTTTCCCCCCAGTATCCTCCACCTGTTTCTTTCCACACTGATCTTCCCTGCTGTCACTGAGGCTTCATTGAGCCTCGCTTGAATCACCCCCTTACTATCTCTCAGCCACTTGTGGTTTTATCTGACTCAGCTTCAGCCCAGCTTGGATCCCTTTTGATATATCACATATGGCACCGTCCTGTGCCAGGTCCCATCTTTGCCAGGCTCAGCGTGGCTTTAGTTTTTGTTGAGAAATGAGAAGACAAACCTGAGGTGATCGCGCTAATGGCTAATGCTGCTTGCTTGTTTGGGTTTGTGTAAATCCCATGTGCAGGCCAAGTTGCAGGTGCTACGGCGTGATGGATAGAGGATGTTTTGTTAGTGTTTCAGCATTTTGGTACTTGTATGCACTAGCCAAACAGAAATGTACACAGAGTTGTGAAAGCACAGATTTTGAAATGAAGGTTCATTATAGATGTCTCATTCAGTTTCGAGTGAATTTCATAGGGCACAATAGAGTAACAAACTATTACTAAGAATTTGTCATATTTAATTTGCAAATCTTTTTCTCAGCACTCATATCACCTTTTCACAGATTGTTATGCAAGACTAATCTTGCTTTGCAGATGGTCTTTTTTGCCAAAGTATCTGAATGGTTTTCATTCACAGAAAACACAGGCTGGTCTATTTTCTTTTCAGAAGCGTGGGAGCCATTGCGACTTTAAAAATAAGCGAGTTTGCAGGGTACAGAATTGTTGTTTTTCCCGTCAAACAGTAAATCGACCCATTTCAGACTGGAAGCATGGTTCGCTGTGCTGGCACTTTGATATTTATGGCCACCCCATGGGTTGCAGCCCCAATAGTCAACACTGAAACAAGTTTAGCTGAGGCCCAGGGAGCACAATAGAGAGGCACTTTGCTTTAGAGCTGCTGCAACACTAAATATAGCACAGTGAGCGCCATTGCAAGAGCCAGGCTGATTTGTCAAAGCAGAGAGGATTATAAAGCCAGACCACGGCGATGTCCAGCTGAGCCCCTGCTCATTCTGAGCAAGGGGCAAGCAAGAGAGCTGCTTGCACTCTGACACCTCTCCTAAATTCATCATCTACACCCTTACGTCAGGCACGGCGAGAGTTTGTGTTCTACCGCAGAGTTACCTTTTCTCCACATAAACATCTCTTAGAGGTCATCTACTCATCGTGTTGCTTTCTCAATGGGATTCTCACTCTTTCTATAATATTATGAGGTTTTTACCTGCCCTAAAGTGCCTTTAAAATGATATAAAACTGAATTGAACTGAAAATACAGTTTTGAGATATTGAAAAAATATGTTTCTTGGTCTCACCTTCTGAGCATCGTCTTGTTTTTCCACATTCGCAGCTTCCTGTGTGAGAACAGCCTGACAGAGGAGGCATCCCAAGATGAGCAGCATCCTGCAAACAACACCATGTTCCCTGGCCCTCTGGAGGGAAGCAAGGCGCCTGTTATCTCAGTGCCAGGCAGCATGCTGAGAGGCATTCGGCAGTACCGGGAAGACTATGAGGCTTACCTGCGCGCTGTGGCTCATGAGGCTGTGGGCAGCTTCGACCCCTGGGCCGTTGCAGACGGGTAGAAAACTGATTGTTTTAATAATGACTTAAGCTAATGAGACATGTGCATAAACATGATCAGGGAATTTTGTTTGCACTGGCTGATTGCCACCAGTGTTTGAAGTATGCATTGCAGTTATGATCTGTCTCAGTCATCGGGATAGTCTAAAGTGCTTGAGTTTAAGACAACTGCAGTTGTATTTTTCGATTTTTAAAGACGTTTCACCTTTCATCCGAGAGGCTTTTTCAGTTATAAAAGCTGATAGGGAGTCTCAGGAATTTACCTCTTAGTGGGGTTGTCCCACTGAAGGTGAGAGTCACTGATCCACCTTGTCATTATGTGAGTGATTAGAGTCACGTGAGCCAAGGTGTCAATTCGCTGCTCCACCCTAACATCACATGAGTCATTATGCTCACATGGGTCAAGGTGTGCGTGGGGCTTGTGTGGTCTGGGGAGGGATCTCAATACAGTGCTATAGATAAAGATTTTTATAAGCTCCCTCAACCGCTCGAGCCTTCTTGTTTTGTGTTTAGCTTAAGCTTAAAGGTAAATATGTAAGATGACAGTATAGGATAAAAACAGCTTGAAACATTTACATTTAACACCTGTGACATTACATGTGTGCATAGATCTCCACTAGTGCTACCTTTGCTTTGTATATTGGATGGCACAGTGCAGTGGTTAGCCTTGTTTTTTCACAGCAAGAGAGTCCAGAGTTCAAATTCACTGACCATCTGGGTCCTTTCTGTGTGGGTATTCCCTGTGCCTGCTTGGGTTCTCTCTAGATACTCCTTTTGCTGCCCAAAGACATGCATGTTAGGTTAATTAGTGATTGATTAATTGGTTGTGAAATACTGCATGCTCACATCTACAGCTATGTTTGTGTTTCTCTCTGTGTTAGCCCTGCAGTAGACTAGCAAACTGTCTAGGGTGTACCCCAGCATTTGTACTGTGACAGCCGGGATAGCCTCCAGCCCTCCCGCGACCCTGAATTGGACATGCTGTTAAGAAAATAGATAGCTGGACATTATGTCTTGTGTTGCACTCATCTCCTTCTGCGTTAGCATGCTAATCTGCTATTGCTGGCCCTTCTGCTTTGTCATTTTGTACCATAGGATGTGAGAATAAGTCAGTCTGTGCTCGGTCCAACATGAGAGACAAAGTAGCAGTGCTGCCCAGTTAGATTTTTCTTTGCCATGGCCTAACATTCTGACCTCTTTACAGTCATTTCGAACACAAGCAGTGAATGAAATTGTGAACGCAGCGATGGCTGATTCATTTGCTATAAGACCGATGGAGAGCAGGAGATCCTGTTGTGCGTGCTTTACTGTGTTTCTGCTTCCTTTGACACGAATTACGAAATTCCCTTCCTTGGCCACAACACAGGCAAAAACAAAGATTGCATTATGGATGTTGGTTGATTTCTGTCCTGTACCAGTGTCAGATGATGACAGACATAAACACTGGTTGTGAAGTTACAGCTTCCTTTCTCGGAATAAGTTATCCTTCTAAATGCACATAAAGTGTTCATGTGTATCTTTATTAAGGGGCATTAGCTCTTAGCAGGACCTTTTTCAGTGTTCAGTTTCATCTAGAATGCCCTCAAACAACAAGACATTTTCCACCTAATATAACTATTTGCTATGAATGAGTGTCTTCCACTCTGCAGCAGTTTCAGAGTGAAATATAAGTTTTTTTTAAGTTGTGCTACACATTAATCATATGACATGCTTAGTGTTTGTAACTAGAACCACGCTGAAGCAGATCTGTCCTTTCTGTTATTTATTTTGTCCCTGGACACGATTGAAGGACACTGTGCACAGCAGGAGGCGCTCACTCAGAGAGGATCATGCAGAGTTTATGGTTTGCATTTGAAGACCGGCGCCTCTGTTGTTCGCCGCCGGTCTTCTCTCCCACTCACAAACTTACATACTTGACAGGCCGCTGCTGGTGCAACGCTGGCTTTGTGCCATCATTGTGAACATATTGAACTTATGCGTTTAATATATGAGTTCTAAACTTCTGAAATCCTCTTTCCTCTGCGTCACAGACTTGCGTGGGATACCAAGCAGCTTGATAAACTGTCTTTCTTAAGTTTAGATCTGAAAAACTGTCCAGTCCCACCCATGGGATCTGGCTGACTGTGTCACTGGCTCATTATCAGATTCACATCAAAAAGCCAAAATTTTTAAGACATGAATCTGTACTTGGAAAAAACAACAACAAGATATTGCGTGAGAAACCATCCAATTATCTCAGTGTTTTTGGAGACGGAGAAGGCATACGTATAGACTAGTATGACCCCTGCTGCTCTGACACAGTGCAGAAAGCTTTCTGTGTGATGAGATGGTAATGAGCAGCCCTGTGCTGCTGTGGAGCATTACCACCTGGAGGATCTCATTCATTCTGTCTGCTAACAGACTGATTGCAAGATAGAAAGACGTCAGCACTGCCAAAACAGCTATTTGAATTTCTTTATGCATGTAAATAAAACAGTAGTAGGGTTCTAGGATCCTAGTTCACTTTGTATGAATCTGCTTTTTTATTCTGATTTTCATACATTAGCATAAACGGTACGCTGTGCAGTTACTGGTGTGTTAAATATAAAGATAACTTGGAGTAATTCAGAAGGGCAAGCATGGTTCCTTGTATATTGATGTTAATGATATTTTATAATGCCTGTTCCCAAACCACAGCGGCACACTCTTCTCTGGATTTCTCTCGCTATATGGTGCTGTGAGCAAAGTGTTCTTGTCATGCCCC